TGAGTAAGTGATGGCACAGCAGAATGCTTTCAGTGTCAAAAGTGAGTAAAAGGGAATTAAGGACAGACTTTATTTGGGGTTTCACTGTGAGAAATACAGGGAGTGAGCACCCTTGAGCTCATGAGTGTCATTAATTAAGACCTAAATGGCAGGGAAAGTTTTAAAATTCATTATAAATGCCAAGTACTGCGTGAGCATGTGGTTCATTCCATAAACATCTGTCATGTCATGACTTTATCAGATATAGGAAAAAGGGCTCTTGTTGGCATAAAACACCCTAACTGGCACAAAATATGTCTGATGGCTGGGATCTTAACAAAATATGCAGATTCCCTCCTGGAAGTAGTGTGAGGTGCCTATGGGTAATGTACGTATGAAATATTTATTTGGACTGAATGGATGCATGCACTTGGTTCCCGTATACACAACACCCACCCACTCACACTCACCAGCTTCCATAAGAGTTGACATTCAAGATAAGTGCACTGAAAATAGAAACGCATTCCTCCCCACCAGGCCAAAAGACGTCCTTGACCCAGGAGACGGAACTGCTAGAGTCTCTGCTGCAGGAGGTGGAGCATCAGGTTGGTAGTCTACAACAGCTTAGGCCTCCAGTCTTTCAGCTGTATTGCATGTTGTCCAGTTTGCTGTGCAAAACAACAAGGGGGGTTGTGTGCCGACCTTCCTGAAACAACATGCCATTGTTGATGTTTTAGCTGCATGTTGGTAGCTACAACATTATGATCTTGCTGTTTGTGTGTTGAACAGCTTCACTCCTGTAGTAAGAGTGAACTCATCTCCAAGAGCCCAGAAATCCTGCTCATGTTCCAGCAGGTCCATCGGAAACCTATGCAGTCCTTTGTCACCACCCCGGTCCCTCCAGACTTCACCAGGTAATCTGCTCAGCTGGCGGAAAGGTCAGGTTACTTCTTGTGGTCTAGCAGTAGTGTAACTGCATTCCCAAATATTTCCATTAATGATTAATTATTATAAATCATGATAAAGCACAAGACTATAGCCCGGCAGTGACAGAAAACCATATTTTGTTTGTTTTGTGTGTAATCATCCATCCTCTGTGCTTTCAGTGAGCTGGTTCCTGCCTATGACTCAAGCACCTTTGTTCTGGTCAACTTCAGGTAAATAGCTGCTACAGCAGAAAATAACGTGACCTCTGTACTATTTACATTTGAGCTGTGTGTATCTTAGTGAATAATTCTGTTTGATGCAGCATTTTTCTTCTTTGATTGGCATGTCATCATTTGGAACACCTATAATCGTTTTTGCCTTTTGATGCATCAGATTACTTTTATATGATCTAGTTGGTTTTGATTCACAACCCCACCTTTAGAGGTGTTTACACTTGTTATTAGTGCCTGAGTTAAAAATGTAGTGAGGTGCTGTTCAGCTTTGTGGAACTTGGCTGCATCTTTCATTACTACCTACTGCTACTAAACAGTATTACTTGATATTTGCCACCCAGAGTAGCCAGCAGCAGTTGTATTCACTGTGGTTGTAAACTTTCTCTTTATCCCGTGTTGTGTATCTGAAATTGACAAAGTGCAAAACATAAATAAAATACCTGAGAATAGAAAGTCAGTGGGGTTCAGTGGCTGTTGACAAAGAGGATGAGGAGCACTTTGAAGCAGATCCACCCACCACTGAATCTATTTCAAGTGCATTTTTCACTGTGATGAAAGCTGAGACTTGTTAAACCTGAAGGGCCCCAGCAAGTCCCCAAAAGATAATCTAACAAAAAAGAAAAAGCAAGGAGCAAAGCTTATGGGATGTTGCAATCACTTGAGTAAAAAATGACATAACAGCTTCAAATGGGAATGCTTTGTCACAGCTGCCAATTTGTGGACCAGGTTTGATATGAGTGTCTGTGTGTTTGTAGCACCCTGAGGCAGCGGGCTGATCCGGTGTACAGCCCTCCTCTACAGATATCTGGGCTCTGCTGGAGACTTAAAGTCTACCCAGTGAGTTTGAAACTCTCTATCGTTCCCTTATATAGAAATAATTTGACTCTTGGGAAATGCACTTATTTGGGTTCTGGTAGAGAATTAGATGTGAAGATCAATACCACTCTTAGATCTGTGAAGATCTCTAACCAGCAGCCCATTAGCTTAGCTAATGGACATTAAGTGTTTCACTCTGATCACCTCTGGCAGTGTAAACGGTGCCTACTGTGAAATGTATAGGAAATACTCTTGTGTTTGAGAACAAGTTTATAGACAACAAAAAGAGGTTCCATCCCCCCCAAAACACTGTTGTACTGCCACACAGATGAGCAGGTCTGCTCTGGTTTTACAAACACAGCACATAGCCTATTGTTATTTGCAATGTGAATAACATAAACGTCACAAAGATAGCATAATAAAACTAATAACATAAATATAATAAAAGTAGCAAATGCTTCTGAGCTGTGGGCTTTGGGTCCAGTTGTCTCACTGCTGACATGAATAGTGGAAAAGTGTTTTCTCTCTAGGACAGGTGTAAGTGGCTGTGAAGTTTTAACCCCTCTTTTGTGTAGAGTTTTAAAAAAAGTTTCACTGGTTCTAAACACTTGACTTGAGTATGCACCAGTAAGAGTTCTTCAACCTAAAATTGGCAATTTGTGTCTTTTCATGAAATGTATCTAATGACTTTAAGCATGGGAAATGATACTTAGAGTATTTTTGGAATAGAGTGGAAGAATGATATTCCCTATTTATTTTTTTTTTTTATTTGCCACATGATGATTATTGTCTACTGTAGTTCTGGAAATTACAAAATCTCCAATATTTTCCAAAGCCAGTGCTTGTGTCTCTGTTAGTAATTTTGTAATGTGTTTCCTCAGGATGGTAATGGTGTGGTCCGTGGAAACTACCTGTCTGTGTTCTTGGAACTGTCTGCTGGACTCCCTGAAACATCCAAGTATGAGTTATTTCTTAGTAAAGGGCCTTTCTTTCTCTGCAGTGAATATCTTTTTAGTTTGCAATTCTTTCTTTCCTTCAAGCCCCACCTTTCTCAACCAAATCTTTTGTAAACTTCTCATTTTTCTTCATAGTTAAGCCTGGGCTTTAGGTGTCATATTTAGAAGATTTTATTTGCAGGCAGAAATTTAAGAGCCATTAATAAGCACACAGGAAAGCACATACACATAAATTATTCAGTTATAAAGAATGCAGTACTCATTATTGAATGGCAACATAAATGCTTTTAAAGTTGCTTGTGAATGAAATATGGGTCTGAGCACATCACAAGTCCTCAGTGAGCCTTGGAACATGTTTACTAAAGTCAGATTTACCAGAATTGGTACTCACAGCTGAGAGGTTTGGCATCAAGAAGGACATCGAGATTTTAAAGAACAATAATAATAATAAAGAAATAAATTAAGAAATTCTCATTTCTTGGTGCCAGAAAGTATCACTTCTGTTTTGTTTGTATTCTAAAGGGAGCAAGCACGCCGTTGCTACTTGTTTTTTTTTTTATTTGCAAGCTGCAAAGCTGTTTTAATGACCAGCAGCAGTTTCATCATTTTTGGCCAATTAATCCCACATCGGGAGATCCTGCTCGGACTGAGCAACACTTAAACAGCACAAACTCTGAAGACGTACAGTACAGACAGGAAGCAGCGGGTGAGGCTGGGGAAAATCACATCCAGGGATGTGTGCTGTTCTCCCTATACATCAATGACTGCACCTTGGGAGACCTATCTGTTAGACTCCTGAAGTTCGCACACAGCACAATGGTCATTTTCATCCATGATGGGGATGAGTTGGCATACAGAAAGGAAATTGAACAGCTGGCCCTGTGGTGTAGTCGCAGCTGAACACACTCAAAACAATGGAGATGACAGTGGACTTCAGGAGTTCTGTGGTTCTGTGTAGGTATGAGTACCGTGTGGAGATGGTCCATCAAGCCTCTAGTGACCCAACCAAGAACATCATTCGGGAGTTTGCTTCAGACTTTGAGGTTGGTGAATGTTGGGGCTACAATCGCTTCTTCAGACTGGACCTCCTGGCCAGTGAGGGCTACCTGAACATGCAGACCGACACACTGGTCCTCCGGTGAGCTCACACACACTCACACACCCCCACATCATCCTACAGAGCATGCTCACCTGCACCACTCACATATTCTAGAAACAAGCAATGCAGCAAAGCAGGTCTGTTGTTATAGTGCTTGTTTCCTTTGTGTGCTGCACAGCTATCAGGTTCGCTCACCCACCTTCTTCCAGAAGTGCAGAGATCAGTACTGGTACATCAGCCAGCTGGAGTCAGCCCAGAGCGGCTACATACAGCAGATCAACAACCTCAAGGAGGTACTGTGTGTGTGTGTGTGTGTGTGTGTGTGTGCGTGTGTGTGTGTGTTTTCACTTGGGTTTTTAGATTTCCAGGTGAGAACAGCTTTGTGAAGTTGTGGCACCTGGGTAGATTTTCACCTCTTAAACCTTTAAACATCATTGATCCACTGGTGCATCAGTCACTACAGCACTGATGTCTGTGACAAGCCTATGTTTGGCACCCAAGCACTGTTCAAACACAAAGAATATTACTTTAGAATAGAGTGGAGACCCCAATGTTTCCAAACGCACCAAATATGCTAGGTGACACTTTCAGTACATGTATATAAAATGATGTTCTGTCAGCCAGAATGTTTGTTTGATGGGTCAGATATAAAAACATGCAGTTTGAATATTATATTCTGTTTTAATATTGAGCCAACTGGGGCAAGAAGATCCTGAATCTATGTCGGTATATTAAAGATAAAAACAGAAGGAGATGTGTGTTCTGTATTATCAGTAAGTTAATACAATTCAGATGCAGTGGTAGGAGAGATAACTGTAACAACAGTGAGGCCGCTATCACTGAGATTAAATTACACACATTAATGCTTGATTACAAGCTGCATTGTTACCTGCTGTGCCTTTTGTACATTAAGGTAAACGGCCACTTTATCCAAAATAATGAAATCCATTAAATAATGGGATAATTACTGAATGTACAGTAAAGTACATTGATGTGACATTGCTGGAAAATAGTGACCATAAATGTTATTAAAAACAGGAATTCTTCATGAAAATGTCTGGGATTATAACTTCAAATGTGGTATTGTGGTTTGGTAGGCAGTGATTGTAGGCAGTTTGAGAACAACTAATGTACAGCAAGATTGGATTTGTTGAGAGTGTGCATTTCGTCATGATAACTTTAAATGGTATCATGAATGGTTTTGAACAATAAGTGCAAATGAAGGCCTAGATCATTTTTTTATATTATATTTATAGTCAAGTACAACAGTCTTATACTCAAAACCTTACTTCATAAGTAACATTTACTTTTAGAATGTTTGAGATTATTACATAATCCATTGCAAATCTGTGTGTGTGTGCGCGTGTTTCTATATGTGTAACTGCCTTCTTAGTCATTTTTTCCTCACTGCTCTGAGTAAGCTTCAGTCCTCCTGAACTGATTCAGATTTCTAATTTCAGAGGCTGGCCATCGAGCTGTTTCGCCGTCAAACATCACGCAGCTCCTCGCCCCCTGACCTGAGGCTCGCTGCAGGGACCACGGCTTCTGAAAGAGACCCTCACTCAATGAAGAATGACGACGACATCCAGACCTCTTTGACCAGCCCTAAAAAAGGCGAAGAAGAAGAGAGGACGCAGCACGATGACTCTAATGTAAGGATAGAATGTACTGCACTAGACTGCTTCTTTTGGTTTACTTATTGAGCTCTACTTTGATGTCTTTCCATTGGGTTTACCTGTGTACCTACAGAGAGCAGAGTCTCCGTTTGTATATACACCGTATTGTGCAAGGCTGGGACATAATTTATTCAGCCTGTCCTCATCTTTAGCAAAATACCAAGGTTGAGCAACCAAGAAAAGAAAACATGTAGATGCAAAAATCATTGTTCTGTTTTTACTGCAAGCAGCTCTACCTAATGTCAAGTAGCATTGCTTTCAACGAAGGAAAAAAAAGTGAGGCACTGAGAATTTGTTTTTGTTATTTATGTGTTCATGTTGTCCTGTGGCTCAGCTGTGTGGAAAAGTAGTTGTAGAGTTTTAACTGAGTGCATTGGGATGTTTTAATGGGGTGTGTAACCAGGGGCTTGGGACATTCCTGTCACAGTAAATATTTGGGACATGTAAATAGTTTTAGCAGTGAGCCTGGTGTGATCATACAGTCACTGTGTTGATCAGGAGCTGTCGGACGGTGACTTGGAGGTGGACTGTCTGACGGAGGAGGAGGTGAACCCGCTGGATGGCAGCAGCACCTCAGGGAGCTCCACAGCCACCAGCAACACTGAGGAGAATGACATAGATGAGGAGACCATGTGAGCAGAAGTTCTCACATTCTCTTAATGTATTGTATTGTTTAAGATTCAGAAACCTAAATAACTTTTGCATTTTGCTTTATTTATGTAAAACTACTGTATAATTAGACTATAGAGGCCCCAGTTTCCTTGCCAAGCTGGAGCAGAGGGGTTTAAAAGGTTAATCAGAATACATTTGATGGTAACTGGATACCTTATTATTTGTTTCTGTATATTTGCGCAGGTCAGGAGAGAATGATGTAGATTTCATTGGGAACCTGGAGACAGAAGAAGGAGAGCTTCCTAATGACTTGGCTGGAGCAACAGGTTTAATTTACACATAAATATGATCTACAACCAAATTACTTCACATTTCCAAATGCATCCACCTATGCAGATACCCAGTGTCTTGCCCTTTTTGTTTTGGATTATATCAGGCGATAAGCTATTACTTCTTTATTTATTAAGAGAGATCCGATGGCTCATGAATCTTCAAATGTCACACATCAAATTCTAATTATCTTTATGAAATCCATAGTTTGACAGATCAGTTGATTCACTTCCATTTTTACACAAATCAACCAGTGTGACTTTTCTGCACTCTCAACATGTATACAGCCAGTAGTGCTTTCCGTTTGTTTTTCTGTGCTAAACAGTTGTTTGAAGGAACAGCATTTTGGTAGATGACTGAAAATAAAATCTTTCAAGGAACTGAAGGGATTGCATCCCTGGCAGTATTGTTTTAATTTGTATTAACAGTGAACAGCATCAGATCTGTTTTGTTTGACAACTGCACAATCTGAACATAGTAGTACAATGGTGGGCCTCGAAGCAGCTCCTTCAGTAAGCATGAAACCATCAAATATTTAATGTTGTGCCACAGATAAAGGACTTATTCTATCTTCAGCTGAGGCAAATAGAATACTCTGTCACTATTTGAGAATTTACAGAATCAGATCTGTTTTGTTTGACAACTGCACAATCTGAACATAGTAGTACAATGGTGGGCCTCGAAGCAGCTCCTTCAGTGAGCTTGGCTGTGTTGGTATTGCAAGACATGAAGAGGATGAGTTGAGCTGTTATAGAAACACTTGGTGTCTGTACATGTGTGTGGGGGCTGTATGTGTTCGCTCTGTTAAGAGTCAAGCTCACCAAAATGTTTCTGCACATTCTTCAGGTCCCACAGTGTAGTGATTTTTTTTATAATATATATTTCAATGTTTCTTTGGTGCTAGTAAAAACAGTTTAGCCTAAATGTTTTATCAAATTTTTTGATAGAGAATTTTGGCAGCACAAAATTTATGTAATTGAATTTTTTACATGAAAAGCTGAAATGTGCTGTTTACAAAGAGATGCTAATAGGGCTGGGTGATATGGAAAATAAATAAAATGAATTAATCTTTGTTCTAAAGAAATTTCAGTGATATCAAACTATGAATGTTCCATAAAAATTTCCAACTGTAAAATTACAGGCTGCAACACCTCTCTTTGTTTGGAGAAAGACATTTTCAGTGCACTTTTGTCTGCATTTACCACAATATTCTAAAGTAAGAGAAGTCGTATCTGCATGACCCAACCTTTACCTTGACTTTATTTCACTTGCAGTGGATTTTTAATCAGTGAAGTAATCTTTTGGTCGAAGCTGTAACCCCATATGTAACATATAGGAACTATAATGAACTCTTGCCTTCTGTTTGATTTGCAGGTGGATCCAGCTCCAGTGTACATTCCTTACGTCGCGGTGCTGCTGTAGGTCGTTTTGCCAGTAGTAGTGGAGCTACTGCTGGTGGTGCTGTCGGGCCAGGTAGCAGCAGCCTCCTAGAGATTGACCCCGTCATCCTGATCCAGCTGCTGGATCTGAAGGAGCGCAGCAGCGTGGAGTCTCTGTGGGGCCTTCAACCTCGGCCTCCTGTGTCCATGCTGCACACCCAAGGTCTGTAAACATAGCCCTCAGATGACTAACAACAAATCATTCTAGCTAAAGTGAGAATCAATACCCTTTAACTCTCACACAGGGTCCTTCCAAAATAACAAATCCCTACAGCAGCTATGGTTGACAGAGGTTTTTTTTTTTTAAGACACATTGACATAACTTTTTCATTCTGCCTCACATTTGTGAGAAAATATTAATCTGATGTTTCATTTAAATTCTCCCCAGTGATTGAGACCATCGGAGATGTTGTGCTTTTTCTGGTGTAGGCAGTGATTTATGACCTGTCTGGATGTGGCTAATGCACAGCCTGAAAACAAGTTGTCTTCCCCAAATCTCAAGGAGCCACACAGAGAAATCGTTTGAAGTTCAGAACATACAAGGCCAATGTATCAAACCAAATAAATCGAATAAAAGTGGTAACAAACGTTGCAAAGTCGAGGAAACCAAACTTCAATGACTTACCTCCCCAGATATAATATACAGGAGAAAGCAGTCTTAAAGGTGCCCTGTGACCTCTAGTGGAGCTATGGAGCCCTGTTTATTTGAGTTCATCCCAGTTTTGTTTGTTCACACAATTGTGCAATGCAATACACATCCTCATCTTGCATTACAAAACAAATTATATACAGTGGAAAATGTGGCTGATTAAAATGGGAGTATGTGTATAACCCAATATCACAAATCACAAATTTTCCTCAAGGGTCTTCACAATATGAATACAACATATGACACCCTCTGCCCTTAGGTTCATGAATTGGAAAACTCCACAATACCCCTTTTAACGGGGGAAATGGGAAAACTACAGGAAGAACAGTAGAAGAGGGCTTCCTCTTCCAGGACTGACAGGCAATAGATAAGAGCCACATAATAACATTTTGTAACCAAACATGGCAGGTCTGTTTATTGATTTTGTGCCATTTGATATATTTGAATTATTTTTGAAAGCCAAAAAACTGTCATCTGGCCATCCCTGTTTTAACAGCAAAGTAAATGAAAGTTAAGAGTCAGCAGTTTCTCAAAGAATACATTTTCTTCAGCTGTTCATTTCTTTCAGCATTTTACTCATGCATTGCTTGTCTCTTTCAGCTCCTCCTCAATCCAGGAAAGAACAAGAGCGACGTCCTCAGGTGGTGCGACGATCAGCTCCAGACTCAGGGGTCCTGATCCGCCTCAAGGCTCAGATGGCTGAGGTCCGCAGCAAGATGTCTGATGTCAAGAGTCAAGTGCTGGAGGCTCAGGGCTCCACTGAGCCCAAGCTGGGCCCATCAGAGGCCTTCAGTGTGGAGGAGGTACCCTCTCACCATACTGATTCAGAGCTGTTAGCTTGTCGTAAGCCCAGTGAGCTGGACCTGTTGGGGAGACCATCTGCAGCTCGATCTAGGCCATGCCGCCCTGGTGAGAAATTCTCAATCTTTTTTCTGAAAAAGTGAATTGAATAAGTGAAAGCCTGAAAATGCTGAAACCGTACCGCTTCTAGTTTCACACCACTATGTGCTGATGGAAAAAATGTCTGTGATCACGGCAAAGTCATTGGTGGCCAGACTAAATGTGTCGGCTTATAAAAACAAACCGTTGTGTGGTTTATTCCTTTACCAGTCATCTCAGGTATTCTGCAAAAACAGAACTGCCAGACTTCAGTTCACCACTGAGATCCACCAGTGTCATGGCAAACAAATATTAACACCCAGAACACCGGTTTTCTTTATCATATCAGGACATGTATACTGTTTGCATAATAACCCTACTGGCTTTAATGATTTAGTGACTTTACCATAAAGGTGAATTCAGTGACAGTGGAGAATCCCCCTATGTTCATGTTCTAGTTTGAATAATAGATCCAGGAAGCCTTCATCGATGACCTGTACACCTTACAGGTCAAAAACAGGGCAGAGAGCATTTCTGCAGACCCCTCTCACCCACGCTATGTTGTTCTTTTAACTTGTGATTTTTTTTTTTTAACTTGTATGTATTGTGTATTTATTTTGTTTTTATGTTGTGCACATTTGGGGCCATTGAGCTGGAGTCAAATTCTTTGTGTTCTTGAAATACTTGGCAATAAAGTTCATGATTATGCTTATGAATATTTGTTTCACAAACTGAGGTTCACCAAAGTACTTGAGACATATCACCAAGGAACTATGGCTAAAAAAATTGAATAAGATAAAGGATTGTCATCTGTTTATTTAGGACTTCAGATACATGTCCTTTGGATATCAGTAGTATCTCAGTAAACACTGGATTGCATGCAAGCCCAAAATACTAAGGCAGCGCAGCTTTTAAATGGATTAGACTCATAGAACTCATGCCGGCAGGATTATTGTCTTTTTTGCATCACATAACCAATAAGTGTAACATGTGACTTCACAATTGTTGGTTCAGGAGACCTGAGGTAACCTGAGGCAAATTTTTTTTGTGTGCAGCCAGGAAATCTCTCTCCCCTGTCCTGGACAACTGTGGCTCTTTGGTTGTGAAGAGGAGGAGTCCAAACGAGATGGACAGGGACCTGAGAGGAGCAGAGGCAGCCACTGATCTCAGTCTGCATCCTAAAGAGGGGTCAGGAGGTGCAGAAGGTCAGTAGCTTATTAACTTACAGTATGTTACTATTCAAACCTGCAGTTCTAAGCTTTTTTTAAGGCATTTTGGAGGTGGTAGAAACACAGTGTAAGTGTAAATACCACACAGACATAATATCTTTATATGGCGAGCTCTTTTCTCATCCAACATATTTAAAGCAACAATAGCATTAATTTGGAGCTGTGTTGGTGTTTTTTCCACCCACTGTTAAATACTGCACTATAATCACCAGCCAGTCGCTTACTGTGTCTGGTGCTGGTCAGGTGGTGCACAATGGGCTTTTATATGTACTTCTGTTTTACAGTTTGTATGTCACTATTTCAAACAGTGTTTACAACAAACTCTGAATTTTTACGACCCATTGTTTTTGCATTTGACAATTCCCACTGCACATCTGCTATTTCAAAAGATTTCTTCCCTTGTCTGCTTTCTACACTGAAACCAGTGGCATTGCAGCTTGCATGCTGCCTGTTTAGTGAAAGAAACCTCATAATTGTGCCTAAATTAGTTGATGATGTTGATTAAATTAAATCGATTAGTCTTTGGAAAAACAATTGTGTACCCATGATGTGTTGCAGCTACGGTAAGTTCAGTTTCCTGATCAGCTGATAAGAAGCTGTACACTCTTGTACTGTTTGTGAGCAATGTGATGATTATTATTGTTATGTGAGGCTAAATATCATCTAAGAGTTTGATATAATCAAGAAATACTACAACTTACCCTGCCATCTTTAAATTTGTATGACTGAAGTCGCCAGTGATGATGAAAAATCGATCGGGATTGAGCTGAAAAACAAAGCAAAACTAGAAACACATCTTTCCAATGTGTTACTTTGCTTGTATCTCTGCTCCAGGGGTGCTGAAGGCTGACGGCACCCAGAGCCCCCTCATGTCTCTCAGCAGCTCATCATCAGAGCGGGCCTCCACCTCCAAGCAGCAGTACCCATTGGACCAGCAGCTATACAGAGCCTCTGGGCCCAGGGATGACATCTTCTCCTTGGGTGGACCAAGCTACATGACTTCCAGCAAGAACTGTGGCAGTAGGAGCCTAGGGTGTGACGCAGAGTTTTTTTCCATTGGAAAAATGTAGCCATTCAACTACAGCAGACAGCTGTGTCATTCCAACTCTTGTTTTATAACTCTTTCATTTTTTGTACCGCAGGCCGACCATGGTGGACTGTGAATCTGAAGGCTCAGGAAACCCCCATCAGTCCTTGCTGGAGGGGGCCTCTGCACAACCACAGTCAAATGAAGGTTGGTTCACCATCTTGCACTCTGAGAAATCCATTTGTTTTTGTTTAACAGTTGCAGCAATAGCCACCTGATAATGAGAAAAAGTCTTCACTGTGTTGTTGAAACTCATTTTAAGAGCACTTATTAAAAGCTTCTTCTGATGCTCCATTTATATTTCATTTTGTCAGACAAAATATACAATTAATATCCTGGTAATACTGTGAAATTAAGTAAACCGCAATGTTCATTCACAGCATAGAACATCAGCCATGCAATAACTCTTGATGTGTGACGTGACACTGCTGGTGTGTCTAAAGTGTATTTACAGTATGTGAGTGTACTAAAGGTGAATATTGTTCCACCCTTACTGATTTATCTTAACCCTACACATCGTTTTCTGCGGGCATGTCAGCGGCACTTAAAATGATTAGCTAAAGTGTGTTTGTACAGGTCTGAGTGCCTCCTGTCTTGTACTGTCTGTAGATCAGTCGCAATCTGTCCTGGTAGCAGCAACAAGCAGTGACAGTGACACTGAGGACGAGGGCCTGCAGAGTAACAACTCTTGCTACGACAACCAGACTCTTCCGTGCACAGGTAACCATCACAAAGAATGTCTATGATATTGCACACAGTCAGCTGAGGTCAAACATCAACAGCTCCTTCGTATTATGTGATTTTGTGGTGTTCCTGACAAAAGATGACAATCATTAGACAAATGTGGTGAAATCTGTGGTTGTCTATCAGAGTTTGCACTGTGAGAAACAATCGATGTCAAATTTAGGCATTAAAATTCCACATTGTCACTGCTGCTGTGATAGAAACTGTTAATATGAATGCTATATAAAATTACACAGAATAGAGTAGTGGGCTAGTGTAACACTACTTCTGTAAACACTGACCACAAGGTTCACTTTGCAGTCCTTTGCTGTGACCAGCTTCTCACTCATGCACCTCTTTTGAGGTAATTTGATGTGTAGAAGTGTCGATGCTGTCAGCAAAGCCTATTCACTGTTTTGCTTTTCGGTTTTCAAATCATGGACAGCACAGATGGATGAAGCGAGTTGATGACATTTCTCTATTAGCATCTGTATTTTATTTTCTATTTACACCTAACAGTATGTTTCACCAGGCTTTCATTGCACCATCTGACATGCCTCATAATTCATATACAGTCTGACGAACACTGTAACCAAGACTATTAGACCCATGTGTGACATGTAATGAACTTGCAAAATTGTTATTTCACAGTGTATGTGTGTCATTACAAGGACCAGGTCTGTCATGGCATTTCTGGGATTTCACTCATTTCTTGAAAGTCTTGTTTTTCGGTGACACATCATATCACATGCAATATTCTACTGTATACGTACTCTGTTTATGTGATGTGATGTGCACTTTGAGTATAGTCCCTGTGCACTCGACTTGTTTATTATCATGGATATTTTTGAATGAAGCCCTGAGGAGCATAAGGTAAAAGTGCTCTATGTCTGAATGATAAAAAGATGTCACTTTAGCAGACTGACGAAGCAGCAACGTTGCATATCTCATGTCTGAAAAGGGCTATAGCTTACACACATTGCAGCACGATCTCAGCTGAGAATGGAGGCGTCAGCCCAAAAAATGCCGTTCAGGACAGTCCTATAAAAACAGTGCCAACAGATTGTTTGGTGATGGTGGAAGAATTATGTTTGTGTGTTACTACTGCCTATATTTATTTAATGTGTAGGCATTTGGGAGTATGCAGGCGTCCACATATCTTATACCTGTGCTTTTATTGCCAACCATGTTAAAATACTTCACTTCAGCTGTACAGAAACTTTTGTTTCGAGCCCAGACTGAGTGTACATAATGAAGAACACACAGATGAGTTGCTGTATATCTCCTCTTCCTTCTTCCAGGTGAGCAGCTTCTGTCTGATGACATGAGTCTGCCAACTGACAGGTGATTCCCTGTGAGTCTGTCAGACCTGGCAGGCCACTGCTTTATACTCAGCGGCCACACAGTGATGTAATACCGGCAGGACACAACACACGTGCCAGTTACACAGATGTGTAGAATAGAAGCTGCTTGTAATGCATGAAAGTAAAATGAAGACAAAACAGACCCATTTCTTCAAAAACTGAAACTTTAATGAGTATGTATTGACTGTTCATATGAACAGATAATATCAGTGCCATTAATATCAATATAATGAAACTACCCCTTTTAAGAAGAACCAACGTAGCATTTTTGTCACCTCCTTTAAAACTGGACTTGCACTGTATTTCTGGTTACACTCTGCGATTTGACTGTTCAGTGATGACCTTGGCAGTCGCATGTTTTTACCCTGCTGCATTTAGCAATGTACATACTTTCACTTCTTTCATGGTCACTTCAAATATATTAGAGGAAAACATGACAACTACTATGACTGAATCTCTAAAAATGTTTAGGACATAAAAACTGTTCATGCATCTTGTTGTTTTTATTTTGTTCACTGGCGATGTAACATTTTCCCTGGTCTGCAGGACATCTAGTCACTTTAACTTTCAGCACAAGTCAGTTACCTTCTCAGTGTGTAAATGCTTTTGCAAATCGGACAAAATGATAGGCTACAGATTATGTACATCTTATCAATAACAGTTTAGTGTTTTATAATGCTGTACTGTTTAGTTGAGCCTCTCTGGGCTTCTGTTTTTACACATACTCATCTTCCTTCAGCTATGTCCCTGCACCTCCCCCAGTGTTGGTGCTTGAAAGAATTAATTCATTCCTCAGCCACTTAGTTTTAGTGGCACTGCAATTTGTTGACTGCTCAGTTTGAGTGCTTCTTTGTCTGAGGTAAACCTGTAGTGTTCAATGAGCTTTTCTGGTTATTTATGTAGATGTCTTCACTCTTTAATAACAGTATCATCAGCAACTACAATGTGTGTCTGTTTGACATTTGAAAAGGCTAAATCATGTCTGAATCACATGGATTATAAAATGCAACTCTGTTTCTTTCTGTGGGCATGCAGCAGAACTGACACCATGACAAAGTTCACACTTGAGTGTTTTTGCTTCAACATCTGCTTGGACAGCACTGACTGGAGCAAGAGCAGCTTGCACGAATGCTTGCACCCACAGAGAGCTTCTGCACTAGCTTATGTGCTACAGAAATGAGAATTATTAATTTAAAGGACCATCTGAGCTCCTTTATATAAAGATGCATCTTCTAGCTGGCTAGCTTAGCATAAAGATTGGAATTTAGTTTCCAGCTAACCTACCTCTGTCCACAGCTAACAAAATGATCTGCTCATCTCTTCAGTTCCTATTGTGCTGGCATGGCATTAGTCTCTCTTTCAGACTTAAATTAACACTGAATAAAACAGCACTGCTCTGTACAGGTACAAACTCTGAGACAGGTTGTACATTTGGCCGCAGTCAGTGATGTCAGAGTAGTTCTTTTCCATCAGCCGTCAGTGCAAAAATACCTCTATTCCATTTTAACATTATATATTTTGACTTTTCACAATAGGAAAGTGTGACACTGAACCAATGCAATCACCAAGGCCCTATAGAATGCAGCTTTAACTAATCCGATTAGTAACACCTGCACTTTTCCTACATGTAAAATGTCTGCCGTGAAGGAAGTATATACCTACTTTATGTTCAGTGCTGAAAGGCACAGCTAAGCATTCTTAAGGTGTCTGTTCATCCAAATTGAAAAAAGAAAAAACAATCTCAGTTCCTTGGAGTGCTCTCTGGCAATGGAGGTTGTTGTGATTTTGGGATTTCTGCCCCCATACCAATATAATGAAGGTCAGTGTGAGGCTAAAACTGCAGCAATGATTGTTTTCTTTATTATTTGTCCAAATTATTTATCATCTAAAAGTAAGAAACTTAGAAAAATAGTATTTTAGTAGCTGGAACCACAGTTTTTTTTTCTTCATAAAAATCTAAAATATGCTGTAGATACATTTTTTTGTTGAACAGTTTTCTTTGTGGAGCTCTGGAAAGTGACATTTTGGCACTGGTTTTCAATCCTGCATAGAACAAACAGTGAAATACTTGGAACTCTTCAATAGAAAGCCTTTCTAATGAAAACTGTGATGTGCATCTCTGAAAAGAATTTTTTTCACTAATTAAATTCCAGCTGTAGTGTATTGTCAGGGAGGAATATATTTCAGACTGAAATCTTAAACCTGGACAAAATAAAAAGCTCAGTTCTCAGAACCTGAAAACAAAGGTTTTAAAAATATATGTAGTTATGTAACATGTCCTCCACTGTGCTGACCGCTCACTCCTTCACTGGATTTTCTTCATGGATAGATCATTTTTCACCTCAGTGCTCCCACCAAACATAGCAAACACATGTCAGAGGTTGCTGCAAAATAGTTGACATTGTTGGGAGAAAATGTGTTTAGGGAAAGGTCACATTGACCTGCTGTGTTATAAGAAGTAGAGCCTTTCCTCTTCACTGAGCCATAAACTTATTTTGAAGCACACTTAAATCTTTAGATCAAAGAAATAATACCTAGTGTACACTTCTACAGTCTTTAGTTTACTTTGTAAATATCTTGGCATGGTATAATAAAATTGTAAGAGCTTGCTGTTCATGTCCCTGAAAATGCATGTCTTTAGTGACTGGACTGAAAGAGGAGAAACATGTTGTCAAACTGAAATACACCAGAGTGATGTGATGTTTGAAATATATTCACCTTAAAATTCCAGTCCAGTTGATTGTATTTTTCCCCTTTCTTAGATTGTTGCTTCACACATCCATGTCTATGATGGAGGCATGGGAAAGAGCAACCAGGCTCTACTTAGTTGTGCTTGTTGTGTCAAAGGCTGCATTATTTCATGTGCGTTTTCTTTTTGTGTAATAAATATGTTTTAAGACCCTTGAAATGACCATGTTCTCTTGTCTTCTGTTTCATATTACTTTGCTTTTGGATCACAGATTGTCACAGTGATGTCCTAATGTAAAAATATAAACATTTAGATGATCACAAAAGAGGTTTCTTTGCTTAGATTGCTTAAAAGAAGAACAGTGCTGATTCAGTCTGGGTTTGATTTTTGTTTCGGCCATCGTCTCAGCTGGTTAAATAACCAGGTTGATGCAGAAAGTTTGCAGATGCTTACAACAGTCTGGATAATAATGAGAGCATCTGTTTTGTGATCTTCAGTTTATAACATGACACCTGTCCAAAATCATCAGGATTGTCATAAGTTTTGGAGCTGCTGAGTTTAGATTTTGGAAATGGGTGATGTGCAAAAAGTATTATTACAGTATATCCATGTCCTTTTGCTACTGTATATTAATTCCTTTCATCTCTGTTCTGAAATCTGAGTATTGTGAGGTTGTCAGTCTGCTTCTTCTGTGTGCACGATGGCGAGTGATTACTGTCAATCAGTTACTGTAAATTGTTGGCAAAACTGTGAACTATTGTAATGCACTCTTTCATCAGGTTGGGGACAGAGGCCCTAACTCAAACCAACTAAAAATAAAGTACCATACAGAGACACAACTAAAAAGTTGTAAAAAACAATCACAAAATCACAAAGAGACTGTAGCCCACTAAAAAGAAATGGTAAAACTGTCATAAGCAGACTCAACACAGATGCACAATCACCATAAAGAGACTAAAAATATATTCAAAACAGCTGAAGAGTCGCAGAACAAGTAAAGGCATTTAGATCCCTCTGTGCTTTCTGTTAAACTTTGCTTTTTATTACTTGAGGAAGAACCATCATATTCTTTCCTCCTCTCTGGATTTTATCAGCCTGTTTTCCTGCAAGTTCATGACTACTGGAAAGGAGAGAGTAAAGCTACATTATGAGTGGGGTGAAATGATGAGTCTTTTTATAGAAAGAATGTGGAGGACTGCTCACTTTTGTAAAGCTGTTTATGTAACAGCCGACAGCGCTGTACCACATGAAAGCCCTGTTACAGCATCACATTGCTCCTCACTCTGTCTTCTGGCATTTCACTCTGCTATATGAAAACTGTCTGTGCTTCCTAATCTTTACTGTGATGGTGCTGTGAGTTCCTGTTGATCTTTCAACTGTGGGAATTTCATAACTTGGGACCAATTGTTTGCGCTCAAAAGATCAATCTCTGTAGTTGCGAGATAATTAAAGGGGGTGGGGAGTAATCAAAGCTATGCTACAAATATTTGTAATAATGTTTCTCAAATCTTTGCTTTTTGTGAAATGTTGTATAGTTTAAACTTTGGGCATTGGGTGATTTTGTTCAATGAAACCATCCGAGAAGTTTGGAGTGGAAATGCTAATAACTCAGACATGTGAATCCTGCAAGACCCCAATAAAGAGAGACAGCTTTTTTGTAAGGAGTGTTGTGTGGTAATTTTGGAAGTTCTTCATATGTTTTCAAATGAAGATTCTATAAAAGTAGCTAATTGGTATTTGCAGCTGTTAGAAAAATGTTGATACAGAGGGTGCAACCTAGGGTGTCACCAACAGGGGGCCCCAGTGAGCCACATGGCTGTATAATTTTTTTCATTTCTAAATAAATGTAATTATTTTTAAAGATGTTTAAATGTTTTTATTTTGTAATAACCGCTTGGCTATAAAACAAAGTTTCCATTTATTAAAAATCACTTTTCAATCAATAGCTTTTTCTCTTATTTTGTCTGTGACGCCATCGATATGAACCCAGCACCTGGTGAGCAGACAGCAAGGCATAAAAACGTAAAAGCCGATTTCTGAGGATAGCTAGAAGTGAGCAAATACTTAAATGTCAAAAATTGACAACGTAATTTAAGAAAATAACTCATGAAAACAACATTTCTTCCTGCATTGGAGCGACACCGGGCAGGGCTAGCCTCCTGGCAAGCAGGTTCAAGCAGGGTCAGCTAGCATTAGCATTAGCAGCACCTGCATTAGGTTCCATTCATGGCAAGGAAGGGCCCGCGGAGGACAGCAGCAGGGGCGAAGACAAGACCATCTGGCTATAAAGTCACCTGTAACATTGTATCAACTTATATAGCTCTCAGGTGGGCTAGGTTATAACAGAGGAATCACATCCTTCTTGGATAAGCAGTGAATGGAAGGCACTGTCAAACCTGGCCTAAAATAGACTATTGACAACCATGTTTGAACAATGTCTAAACCATCATGAGTCTGGAATATGACTTGGTTTGCCAGCAGGACTTTGCGGACATTAAACTTGAAGAAGAGCTGGAAAAAATCACCAAAGGGTGAGTTAGCGATTTTCAAAATGGTTGTTATTGGGCTCAGTTCTTGCATTTGCTGTGTATTACTGGCTGATGTTGACTTGTAATGCCTCTGAGGGTTTTTGTGCGCAGTGCTGAACGTGTAGAATGATCATTTATGGTGTTTCCTGTTGTTTTTCTTAACAGTACAGTGGTCAGATAACTTGTGATTTTGTGGTCTAAGAAAAATGAGCCAGCGAGGAGCAGACTTCACCTGAGGGGACAAACCAATCTGACAGAGGAAAGAAAAGGCACCAGCCAAAGACTTGGTCTAATCTTTATATACATGATAATTAGTCACCAGTTACAAGACACATATTTATATACTACAGGAACACAGATACTACAGGTACTCAGTGTATGTTTTACTGTTTGTTTTTTTTTACCTGCATGTTGAAGAAGAGGCAGTCATGGGGTTTGTCTTCAGACTTGGAGGATGAGGAGAGGGCTGCGGACCTAGATCAGTCACAGCCCTCAGTCACCATATCCCCCCTCATTCACATTAGCCACCGGTCTAAATTTGAAGAGAGTGCATACTCCAGGCAGTCTCTTCAAATGTACACAGATGTCCCTACTGCTGAGGAATGCTGTACAACAGAAATGTTCTGCCTCCTTTTCATGACTCCTTTTTAAAGAACAACGCTTCGCATTCATTTTTCCACTGAAGTGCATATTGTTTAAGTTTAAACCAAATGGCCACAGACTTAGAGACGTGATGTAGAGAAGTGTCATCTTTCAAAAGAAGAAGGTGAAATCAGACTCTCTTCTTGCAGGAGGTGTAAGTGTTAGATAAGGGAACCTTCCCACTGGCAGCAGAATACGTCTCCTACTCTCTATGGAGAAAATGAATGCGAAATTGACTTCAGCTCAGCTCTGTGACCTTTCAAATTATGGCTGACAGAACTACATTTTGTTGCATCCTTCAGCAGAAGACAAACCCTCAGAGAGCCTTTTAGTGTGACGTCATTATTGCTTACAGAGAAAAAGAAAAAGCTTTTTTTGTGTACATAGACACAGCGCAGATTCACAGAGGGCCCTATAGATAGACAGGAGAGCAGGGCTGAACCTCTGCTTGCTTTCATCATGGGGGAGGGAAACGTCTGACTCAGAGGAGCCTTTAATACAAGCAGCAGAGCGTGACTGAGTGTGGGTTTCTCAAGATTAGATAGAGGATTTACCACAAGGAATGATGGTGAACGTTTTATTGCTCATACAGTGACAGCTTCTGGCGATATTCAATATGATGAGTAACACTGTACAACTAATTCACAGGGTTTTGGTGAATGCAACTCATGAATCTTTGCCACTGAGCTCTGTTGTAGTATGTGCCTCTCTCCAGAGTGCAGAAAGTGGGCTTCATATTAATGCTAAAGGCCTGCTGTGAAACCACATTAGTGATTTGAAAAAATCAACAGCGAATCACAGGGGGCAGAAAACTACTGCGTGGTCACAACATGCTTCAACATCTTAGTCCATACAGAGCAGCACAGAACTGCCAACATTTACAAAAAACAGAAGAAATATCTTGTTATAATGACAATTGTAACAATAAATATCTTGTTATAATGACAAAACACCAAGCATTTTGTAGTAATAATAATAATAAAGTGTCTCATTGTAAGAAGAAATAAAATGTTCTTATGTCATAAGTTTTGTAGAGAACAGCCAAAGACCCAAAAGACAGTTTTAGCCACATTGGCAACACTGTGGTTGAACTATTGGATGAACTGTCCTGAAATTTGCTGCATGTATTCATGGTTATTAGAGGAATAACAGGGTCCAAATAAATGTATTTAACATTCTCCTTGTTTATAACTATGGTGGACACTCCTGATACAAGCATCTCATTTGAAAAAGAAATCTTTGTCATTATAACAAGATCCTAGGAAATCATTTCTGTCTCACTGTGGCAGCTGTGCTTCTCTGGAGTTTACAGCTCTGAGAGGTCTGTGTACAACATCTGTGATCTAAAGGAGTCGCAACACAGTTATACAGTAGGTGAGGATCAAACTCAACAGCAGCTCAGTTTACTCGTGTTCCTTATCGCTAATTAACGGCATGCTAATCATCTAACACCTGCAGAGTTGTAATGAAAACCTACAAACTACTGATACAGTTTGATTTGGCAAAATGGTTTTTAAGGCTGATACTGATTTAATTTAAAATCAAAGCTGCAGATTGGAGATGCTGTGTTTTAAGTTGATAATAGACATCTTTATGTGTTTTTCTGAGATTTCTAATCATGCTAAGTTTAGAAAGCAGGGTGAAACAGCAGCTAGGCCACAACAAGACACTGTGACTCTCCAGTGAAAGCCAGACTGGTTCAACGCCTTTAGGCCTTTATAAGTTAGCAGCTCCTGAAGGCAGAGGCTGATGCCCCCCGGATGATCAGTAACAACACATCTTTACATCCACCTCAGTCTGGTGGTGGGTGGGAGATTTGGACAGTCCATCATCTGACTGGTTAAAGTCAATATCTGACCCATTTACAAGACAGAATTAATATATGTACACTCCTCTAGCACTCGAAAGTCACAAGTAGTACTCACATCCATGGCCAAGTGAATAGTTGCAACGACTGTGGTTTGTTTTCTGGTACTTCACCCTTCTCTGGGCATCAACCGGCGCTTCTAGAGACAGTATTGTAGTGATGGTTTCACAGAGGGATCCAGTGGCTTTAGTTTGTTGAGTTTAATGTCTCAGTAGTACACTCCTCAGAGCTAGATGCCCCTATCAATGAAGAAGAATCTCGCAAAAAAGAAAAACACCTTATTTTGACCCACTTCACAAAGTCTCCAAGGACTTTCTGGGCCATGAGGTACATTCTGCTCCACTGAGTCTGGTTCTCTTTGCTAGTCAGTCCACAGAATGGTTACAGGAGAGTGTCCACATCTCACAAAACAACTGACGTCCCTCTGTGCCTAGGCTGACAAACCAGTAGCTGTTATCAGATAAATCATCTCTTTTAATATCACACCTGCTGGGTGTTTCGTCAGCCTCGACTGGGCCAGGATGGAGGCATGATTTACAGAACCTGGTTTACACCGACATCCTGACACTTGGAAATTCACTCCATCAATCGAAAAATAGCAAACGGCAATGTTACAGTGTTAGGGACTGTTGGCCAGTAATTAATGTACCCATATGATCGTTAAGTGGACCCCACCACCAAACAGTGATTGTCCAGTCAGCTTACTAATTACTAATGGTCAATTGCTTCAACAACAAATTAAAAATATAGCAATTAGAGGAACAAAATAATTATTTTTAGTACTTTGAAGGTGACAGACAATCAGAGTTTTGACCTGGGTCAGAATTTACTTTTCATAGTATATTTGTGGTATAGTTAATTTATGGTCATAAAGTATGGTCGCATACTGTAATGCTAGAATGTGTATTAGAAAGAAAGTTACACATTTAATGCAAAGTGACAGAAGCTTTTCCACTGATTAGTCTTGGTATGGGTGCTATTAGCTTTATCAGAAAGCGATTAATATGACTAATATGAGACTTTTCATTATAGTATCATCATATAAAAGGGTTATTATTTGATGATTACATAGTTTTTAGTTAATTATGAAGCATTAAAGAGGTACTATGTAGGTGTGTTTTGTGTTAGGTATACTAAAGTCATTGAATATTAATAATTAATAAGAAATGTCTTGTACTGTATGTCTTTGCCAGATGTTGTAGGCAAGTGCAGTAGTGTGAAAGGTAGCATAAAGACTGAGTCTCTATGACTTAGTGAAGCTGGTGCAGCACTTTCAGCTGTGCAGAGACAGCAGAGAGCGGGCACTCCATTGAGCATCTTGATCAGATCAAAAGATTGAATTTTAATGGTGCTGTGGGACCATATGAGCCAACGTCAGTGGATTAGCTATCCTGGAATTTATGACTGGGATGTCTAGTGCTGATGCAGAGTGTCTCTTGACACTGCATCTTTATTTACAGAGAGAAATGTTTTCAGGCTACTGAGACCCAAAACTGGGCAGATTCTCTTTATGTTATTTGAAGGACTATGAACAAAATGATTGGGAAACACACATATTCACTTACTTGATGAAAAGTGTAATACCATGTACATCTGTATGCTAAATATGAAGCTACAGCCGGCTCGGCATAGAATAGAGACTGATGCGGGGGGATACAGCTAGCTAACATCAAAAAGGTAACAAAATTTGCCTGCCAGCAGCTCTAAAGTGCTCCGATTAACACATTATCACCTGTTTGCTTAATCCACACACAAGCACAAATCTGATATTGTTGGTTGATTCTTCTTTACTTTTTGCTAGAGCCGAACAGCGCAGTTCCCTCCTGCTGCAAGGTAGTTATCGCTACCAGACTTTACTGTATCTTTCAGGTGTGTAGCTTGTTAGTTCCATGAGTTGGTTGAAAACCCTGTGTCCATCTGATTGTGATACAAGAACCCAGATACAGGGCTTTTAATATGCACTTGATGGCTACATACATTAAGCTAAAAGACTGAGGCTAAAGATACTATTTTATTTATGCATTTATTTTTTTACCTTTTAACAAAGCCAAGTTAGTGGCTCCCCCTGCTTTATGTAAACTAATTGGCTACAGATTGTAGCTTTATATTTAGCTAACAGACATGAGGGTGTTGCCAGTTTTCTTATCTAACTCTTGGCAGAATGATAATAGGCATATTTCCTAAAATGTCAAACTATTTAGTAATTAGTGTTACCACATGTGGAAGGCACATGTTCTGCAGCTTTCAACTATCCTGGCCCAACATTAAATGGTTGTGCATCAAGCCAAGTACAACTATAACAAAAATATATTTCCAAATACTCCCCACTCTCCTAAAGAAAACATGATCCAAGAGTGTTTCCATATCTAGAATGCTGGGCTACATAAAGCAGTTATTCCACTGATCTTTTATAATCTGCTGTTAAATTCTTTTATCTGTAGACAAATTTTGGCTGATACAGAACAACAAGTGCCTTTTGCCCCAAAACCAGCAGAAACAGTTATCCTGGCCTCCTTAATTATCTTTATTCATCTCCTGCTAAAGGATTGCCGAGGGGACAGAGCGGCATGCCAATCCGTTAGAGCTTAATTCAATGCTCGGTCGCTTGACATCTTCAACAGACAACAGCTGTCTCAAGACAAAAGATTGTGTCACCTCAGCCCGCATTTATACATGGGCAATATTAATAGAAAGAAAGACGGATGATGAAGCAGAGTGACTGCACAGCCAACCACTTTCAATTTGCTGGTATGGTTAGAAGGTCCTTTCTCTTAGTTGCACAGAAAAATGTATGTGGATGGCTCATTTAAGGAATGGTACACAAAACTATTTTGTATACAGGAGTCTAGGACTGTTTTTTAAGGTTTTGTTTACACCCTTTAGTTCTAATGACAGCAAATCTTAAAGCTGCTGTACAGCTACAGTGACAAGACTGTTTGTTTGACTTTGTAGGAATGGTTTGGAGGAGACTTGTTTCTTTTTCAACTAAAGCATGATAATTTCCATTCATCAGCACATCCAATGTTGTCGGCTAATATTAGCTTAATAAACATCTGGGTAGTGGTGTATGCATCATCTAGTAAATGACAATACCTTGGAGTACAGAATGCCAAAGAATATGTCTGAGGTCATTAGAAACAGTGTGTCTATTACACAGTTTATCCACCAAGTTTATTTTTCGTCTGTAAAATGATCATTCAGTACATATCGTTGTTGCAAGTCTATAACAACCAAATTTTTCTTTCTGTGCATACCCAACAGCAACAAATTTGTCCTACAGTGCTTTTCTTTCCATCCAAAATAGATTGTTTCTTACTAAAGACACTGCCAAGAGTGAGGAGTGACCAAGCACATAAATTAAACTTAAATAAGCATTCAGACTGAATGTAAGTGAACCTCTGCCTTCCTTGGCATTGAAGAGCTTTTATTCTATTTCGGTCTTGAGCTCCAGAGAGCTAACACAGTTCATGTGATAGCTCAGATTTGAGGTGATTGATTTTAAAATCTACCTGATACTCCAGGTAATCAGGTTTTGGACTTTGCTTCTAAACTTTCTTATGTATCCCTGTTCATGCATAGTCACACAGCTCAAGACAAGTGCAACATTTGTGCTCAAGATGAAAAAATGTTCAAATCCTAATTCACATTGCCTACAGCAAACTGTTTGTTCTTGCCCATTACTGCCTTTTTTCAGACCTTGTATGCAGCCATGCAGCCTCTAAGTTTCATTTCACATTCAGTCTGAACACATCTTGTCAACCTGCATCTCCAGCTGTGCTTTCACATCGACTGGTCACACTGGAGAAGATGCAGTTTTGCACTTTACCTACAGCATTAGGGAGCAGGGTTTGTGTTTACTGAGCCAGCTTACCTTTGGAAACATTTTGGCTTAGGACAGAGAGCACCACTGTTCTGACAGAGATTCAATAATCACATAACGACTGCAGGAGCCACAACTACCGACTATCAAAGAAAGATGTTGTAGAAGGCAGAGGGGGGTGGGCGGTCTTGTGGCACCGCCACTCCAGGCCTTCGGTTGGAGTAGCGCTGCATGGAGGGCAGCAAGTGGCCAGATGGTGACAGGCCTAGCAGCTCCCTGGATCGGCCTGGCCACCTCCGGCTCCATCTGCGACTACCGTAACCAAGCTTGCGGCTTCTCCTCACTGCATGGCCCAACAGCATGGCTGTCTGGGGCCACAGTGGGTCCGTGAAGCTAGAGATGCTGGGCTCCTGAAAGGGGATACAGGACCTGCGCCTCAGTGGGCGTTCTTCTCGGTAGATGTGGTAGGCTGTGAAGAGGTTGGGGCTAAAGTCGGAGCAGGGCTGCTGTGAGCCCTGGGTCAGGGAGATGCGGCCTTCGAGCGACGGCCCCAGCAGGCTGAGGCTAGTTCTGTCCGTGAGCGAGTCCGTTCGGTCTTCATAGCTAAGGTCAGCAGGGGCAGAGCACTGCTGCAGGGGCCAGCCTCCACGACCCTTTCCCCCAATGTCCGCAGTGCTGCCTCCGTCACCACCATCACGCTCTACCCTGACTGCCTCGTCTTCCTCCTCCTCCTCTTCCTGTTCCTCCTCCTCCACCTCCGCTGCCTCCTCCTCTTCCTCCCCCTCTCCCTCAGCCACACCCTCTTCCTCGTCCTCGGTGTTGGTGGGTGGTGGGGAGCGTGGGTCCCGCAAGAAGACCACTATGACAGTGATATTATCACTAGAGCCAGCATCACGGGCTGAGGCCACTAGCTTGTGGGCTACCATAGTGGTGTCTCCAGTATTCTCCTGGAGGTGGTCGCTGACCACCCGCACCGCCTCTTCTGGACTCACTGTGTCCCAGAAGCCATCACAGGCGAGAATCAGGTAGTCTTCTGAACCGTCCAGTGGGAAGATACCATAGTCAGCATCACCACAGATGTAGGGCTTGTGCTCCGAGTCCCCTGTCAACGCAGGTTAGTTTGTTATGGCCAGATCATCCGCTCATTAAGAGCTAGCCTAATAATTTCATAACAGCAGAAGTTTGCACTTTGTAGTTGATCACAGTGGAACAAGTGGACTGTCAGTCAGCAGTAAATCTGTGCCTCATTTTTATTTGTGATCTTTGTGAATTTCAGCTGTTGACCAAAACTGAGGCCGACTCAGCCGTTGACCAATGAGACAGAGAGAAATTCTCAAAGTGACTACCTCCACATGCCTAAACATTTGTATTTGAGACACCTTTGTGTATAAATAAATTACATGTGATATAGGGTGTCTGAGTGAAGGAATAGTTTACCTATTGCTCTGGAAACAGACAAACTGCCATTAACCCTCCATGTGCCGAACCAGATCACACAGCCTCCCAGAGCCTCGATCCTCTGTTTCTCATCCTGCAGAGACAAGAAGCACAGCTGGCTTTAGTTGTGGCCACATGGTACAAAATAGTTTCATCCTAGTGAAACAGTGAATGACTCCATACAGTGCAATACATCCCTCTGTTGTGCACTGTGATCCACCCAATGACATTCTTAGAACAGTGCATTAAAACAGCAGTTATTTTGGGATAGACGAGGTTGCAGATGTTTGAAAATGTACAGTGAGTGTAGAAAAGGGCAGGAACAGGCTGGAACAAAATGATGAAGAGTGGTGTGCCATGTTGTTCCTTATTTGCAGTAGAAAACAAAAACAATGAAAAATAATGTTATCAAAATGTTTTTTATGTTGATGTTAATATTGAATGTTTCTTGAAATAAGCAAAGTGAACATTTTTCTTGTAATACAGAATTTACAAGAACACTAGGGATGTGTATTGACAAGAATCTGGCAATATGATACTATTATGATACAGGAGTTACGATTTGATATATTGCAATACTGTAAACATGATATAGCGATTTAAAAAAAATCTAATCTAAAAAAGCTGTCAAAAAATGAGCAACACACCATCATATGAATAAAAACTCCTGACTTTTTAATGCAATCATAACATGGATCTCCAATTGCATTTGTCACAGTCCCCGTAACATCCAACAACATAGCACTACTTGGCATGTGGACGAGCGAGACTTGCACTTGCACACACATCAAAAAGAAATGTTTGCTCATTAGTAACAGACATTCTTCTGTTTCTATTACTTGTTGCCCCTCTTTATATTTGGAGATGTACAAATATTGCACGTCCTACTAAGTTGGAGGTTTGTGAAAAGTCAGAGATGATATAGCGATTTAAAAAAAATCTAATCTAAAAAAGCTGTCAAAAAATGAGCAACACACCATCATATGAATAAAAACTCAGCCAATTACCGTTTTTAAAAAGAAAATCGGAATCGGCAGGGCAGACTTAAAAAAAAAAGTGTTTTATTTTTAGTACAATTTAATTTTTCATTAGAAAAAAATTACTAAATACCCATGTATCCTGCCAATTACCGTTTTTAAAAAGAAAATTGGAATCAGCAGGTCAGACTTAAAAAAAATCAGAACTCGGGATTGGCTAAGAAAATTTCAATTGGTGCGTCTCTGATAGAAATGATAGATTTGTGCCTGACAGATGTGTACATCTGTAAGTGTGTTACCTCTCTGTCTGGTTTATGTGCTTTCATCAGCTCCACGACCTGTCCTCTCCTGACCAGAATAACCTGGGAGTCTCCCAGCCAGGCCACATGCAACGTCCGGCCCCGCAAGAACGTTACCACGCCTGTTGTACCGCAGCGCAGGTTCTGCAGCACACAGACACACGTTACAGTATTATAGTGTTCAGCTCACACCAAGCAGCAGCTGCACCACTGCTACTTCACCCTTGTTCATCAGTTTACCAAGAGCTAGTTATGTTCCAAGCTATACTGTAATTATCTAATGTGCAACACAAGCCTTAGTATCACAGAAACAGACTCTAAATGTGTGAATATGCTGAAAACATCAAGATCAAAGTTACTCATGTGATTCCATGTTACTAGTAGTTAAAGTGGTGGTAATAAAAACTGTAGTAGTTGCTGCAGTAGTGTTAATAGCAGAGGTGGTAATTGTAGTAGTAGTTCTAGTAGCAGTAGCAACAGTATTAGCTACAGCATTTGAAGTGGCAGTAGTCACAGCAGTTGTAGCACTAATATTAGCAGTAATGGTAGAAGTATCAGCAGCAGCAGCAGCAGTAGTAGTATACAGTATATTACATTAGTAAAAACAAACATTTCAGTTAATATGACAGATTATTATTCTACATCATCCAGGTGTACACTGGTCAGTACAGTATAACTTGATCATGTTAAAGGGTTTGGTTCTGTACTGATGTCTTTACCTCTCGTGAGGCCTTCTTAACAAAGCGCTCATCAGTGAGTTTGAAGGCTCTGCAGAGCGCCTCACCGGGGTCCTGGCTGAAGGATTCCTGATGAACTAAGTTGACGTGGAGGTGGTTGGCAGCGTAAATGGCAGCGTCCACACCCCCATGACCATCAAACACAGCGAAGAAAGCCTGTTCTTCCTGATCCTGAGAGACAATACCAGTTAGTAGGAAGACGTAGTGTTAGTGACAGCTGGCTATTTACCATACTGCAGTGGCAAGAATTAAAAATAAATTCAGAAGACACTCAATAACAAGTATACATACAACAAAAAGGACACTGTGAAATCGACAGCTCCATGCATTAAAACTATATAGTCGCTGACTGTACAACAGTGACTTTGACACATTAAGATCCTGACAACACGAGAGTGGATGAATAAAAACACCCCACTCACCTCCAGTTTTATTCATATAAAATAAAAGCTTTTACCACAGGCACATGGACTAACACTGGTTGTAGTAGTCACATTTTGGATCTGTCATATACAGAGAGTTACTGCTCCCTCAAGATAAGTAAGTCAAAGGCTACGTCTTAGCAAGAAGAGGGGAACTGTCATATAAGCAATCATTATAAAATGGACAGATTTTTCTAAAAAGTAAAATGACAATTTAGGCTTAAGTCTTATTACAAATTCATTTGGTGTAAAATGTAATTTGATATTTGGGCTTTCAGGTTTTCAGGTAACCAGCTCAGATGTGATCCCACTCAAAATAAAAAAAGAAAGGAAAAAATGTAAATGTTTGTACCAATGTGTGCTATCAAAACCTGTTTGCACCAAATTCAGATTGATTGTCACATTCTGGTGTCATTTGTATAACTGGTGAATGAGAGGCTTTTTAGCAACAACTGATTATTACATTTCATCAAAGGGCCTATTTTACAAAAATAATGTACTATTTACAGGCCTATCTCAGGCCACAATTAGCTTAAAATCCATTTAACAATTTTACGCTGCTGCACTTGAATTTATATTGTTGTCCTTTGTTTGTAAATTGATTTATTGTAACATCCTTTAACTTGTGTATTTGTATATTGGTACTTGTAGCTTGGTTCTTTTAACTCATTTATCTATTAATTAATTTATGTTTTACATTTATATTTCTTGTTTTTGTCTGGCTGCTGGAAGCACTTTGGGTTGCCTTTCGGTATGAAATGTGCTAAACAGATCAATTTGCCTCACCTTACTTATGACCACATTTCTATAATAACCACATACAGTATGATGGATTTATTCACAAACAATAACATAATATTATTTAGATCTGTTCAAATCTATCAAATAGAGGTGAACTAGTAAATATCTGTTTACAGTAGATTGTCTTAGTAGATTGTGACTACTGAACATAAGTTGTTGCTTTTGCATGCAGTGGGGTGTGGGGAAGTTGTGTTTACCTGAATGTTAAAGAGTGTGTTGAAGTCAGGGATGATCACGTGCTTGTCCTCCATCTTGCGCCTCATGTTCTTAATGGCATGGATGGAAGTTTCGTAGTATGGCTGTGGACGGCGGCGGAAGGGCAGCTCCTTCAGCCAGAGGCAGCACATCTCAAAGAGTCTATTAAACACCAGCCGGGCCAATGTCACAGACTCGATCTCTAACACAGACACACACACAAAGAATCAGTGGGTCTACGTGCCTTTTTACTGAATATATGCTAAGTCATAGCATTTGCTTATGTTGCTATTACTGTGGTTTCCAGTGGGCAGCTAACCAGTAGAGGGCATAATATGTTCCCTGCCAGCCAGCTAGCTCTGAAGTTTAAGTTTAGATAGTTCACAAGTTGAAACATCACATACCCCTTGTGTGAGCTTTGAAGGTGTCTCTGAAAACTTTATAACTTGCATCTTTCAAAGGCTTGTAACTGTAGTGTGCCCGAGATTGGCACAAAAGTCCAGTCACCAACTGCTCACTGCTGCTGGTAACACTTAATGTTCAATTGAGGTCACAATTAGTCATCACTTTTTGTAGTGTTCTATTGCTAACAGTTGTGTATTATCAAACGATAAAAGACAAAAGGGCTTTGTAGAATAAAAGCTCCTTTTTGTCTGTGTTTCAGTGTCTGTTTGACTGACAGTAGCTGGTAGGCTGCAGGGTGGTATTCCAGAAGGCAGGTGGTCAATCAGTTCCCCTGTTTACTCTAGCATTACTGTAAAAGTCACTGTAAATAAAAAAAATCTGTGGCACATAAGACACAAATCTGTGAATAATCAATTCTCATGTTGTAACTGGTCACATTGTTGGAATATTCCTATTGTTTTTATCATTATGGATGGGAATCAAGAACCGGTTCCAAATTGTCCGATCAATCAGAATCATCATATGCCTCCGACGTTATCAGTTCCTTTTATTGTTGCCGGCATGTTTTTCTGACAGCACTGCATTGAAAAAACTCATGCATCATGATGTCAGACACTGTCTATGCTGCTGCAAACAAGGAGGAGTCATGGTGGAAAGGAAGCAACAGCCCAAAGTGTGGCTTCATTTCATGAAGAAAGATGATTATTTCAAGTAAGGTGGAAACACCAGTAACATTTTAAAACATCTTTTGACACAAAAAGGAACATTATTTATTTTAACATGCTCAAATGTTATTAGGTAGACATTCTGCACTGTATTAAGACTCAGAGACAATAAAATAGTTATGGTGACATTGAAGCCTGTGTAGGCCGCCTGATTTGATTTGATTTGATTTGATTTCTGACATTGAAACCTGTGTAGGCCGCCTGTTTTTCTACACAGGAAATTTGATTTGATTTATTCATTCAAGCATGTAAAACAGTTGATATGTCAACACATGCAATTTCACACATATCCAACAATAATAATTCAATATCAATTTACTTATACCTAGTACATGCTTGAACGGAGTAGGAAGAAGTTAGACTTATCTAGTCCTACCCCATGACATCATTTTACAACTTTTAAGTCCTAAGCAGTATCTCTACATAAATTATTATCCTCCAAACCACACAAGTAATATACTACAGAATTATTAGATTGTTAACATTCTTACATAATTACATTCTTAAATAATTATCTTCTACACCACACAAGTAATATACTAAAGAATTATTACAAAGTGTTAACATTCATACACCACACCCACAATGTTCCATCTAATTAATCATTAAGCCTGTTCTTGCATATATCTTGATTGACACATACCTTTATATTTATGTTTAAACTCATCAATTCTATTACTATTTTTTATGTCCGCATTTAAATTATTCCATAGTTTTACCCCACTTATGGAAATACAAAATCTTTTTTTGGTTGTACGTATAGCATGAATTTTTAAATTTAACTGACCCCTTAAATTGTATCCCCTTGTATGTATTTCCCCAGTTTTCAACACCATACTCTAAGTATGGTAAAATCAATGAAGAATACAGAATCCGTAGTGCTTTCCCGTCCAAAATATATCTAACCCTTGCCAATATCGATATATTTTTTGCTATTTTATGCTGAATATGTCTGAAATGAGATTGATCAGGAAGCAATAAGGGAATTGATAAAGAATCAGACCAATAAGCAGAACTGATAATGTCTTCGGTATCAATAAAATCTTATTAATTCCCATCCATAGTTATCATATCAGATTCTCAAAATCTACATGCTTGTTCTTTATAACTGCAAATCACCAGAATCATTAGGCTATTACAGTACTAGGTTTATCAATAAACTTATGTCGTATCTGGTTTATCTTACTTATCAAGTAGCAGCTATTTAAAAATTTACAGCGCTTTATATTCCATTAAGAACATTTAAGTCTGATAAATTATTAATGAGTAAATAAACTGACTAAAGTATAACCTTTCTCCATCTCAGGGTCTTTCAATACTTATGCTCTGTTTTTAAAGATAAATGCACATTGTTACACATTGTTTCTAGCTCCATTGGATTAAAATGGTGGCTCTGCTTTTCATTTACTCGTTGCCATGCTGAAGCTTCATTTACCTGTTGCCATGGTGAACTGTGGAATTGGTGCTCTGTTGAAATCTTTTTTTAATTCACCATACAGTGAGTTTAACTCGGAGTTGATTGAACCGAGTCTGATCAGCTGATGTGGAAATTGAGTTGGCGTCTGTGTTATCAGAGTTCATGGTTAGGTTCAGAGTTTTTTAAACCTGCTTTTTGGAACGGGCCCCATTAGACAAGCTTGTGGTGTTGTACGGATTACTGAGCAGGCCTACCAGGTACGGGCCCAAGGGGTCAGAGTGCCCCTAGCCCAGAGAACTGTGAGGGGCTTGTTAACCTTAATGACTGGCTCAGTGTGACCATCTCCCTTACATATGGTACAACACTGCTTTAGGCAAGATTCTATTGATTTTATTGTATCAAAATAACACATGTAGACAGATACGGGTTATATTCTGTCGAACTATTGCTTCACTTGGATGTGTCATGATGAAACCAAAAGATATAACTTATGAATTTCTCTCTTTCGAGGAGATACACAGGGCATGTGATTCATAGGACAAATGTGTACTGCATGTGATTTAGGAGACAAACTAATGCTGTGAGCCCACTGTAGTAGCAGTTTAACTGTAAAACTGTAAAAGTTTCAATTAATCTTTCTGCTGTGTCAAAATATAATTGAGAAAAGTCCCCATCCCCAGTGGAAATTATACCCTTGTAGATAGACTCCCAGGGACCTGTTTTACTTTTGCAGAAAGGCAAATGAAAGAAGCTCTCATTGAGAGAGAGATTACAGAAGTTAGTGGAGCAGAGGCAAGCCTAGAGGCGACATCAAGGCTTCTGCTTTCTGTAACAACCAAGAGACAGGCTGTGTGAGCACATGGGCCTGGTCTACTAATGTTTGCTGCAGGTATAATAGTCTATCCTGTCTTTGCCTTGGCCTCCACTCTCACTCTGCTCTCCCAAATCGAGAGAAGCAGGGAGAGAAAATGCCCTATTTCCTCCCTCCGCTCTCACCCCCTCCTCCTTCTAAAGCTACATTCACATCAAACTCTGCCCTTATACTAAACTTCACTTTGTGAACTGTTCAACCTCTCACCCCTCTTGGTACAAATGAAGATGTTTCAGCTGTGCATCTGGGCCACCCACACCACCTTGTAAAACAGAGTACAGTGTGGTAACATCAAATAGGATCAGCTGTTATACAACAAAAGATGTTCCAATTTTAAGGTGCAGAACAGTTTGAGCTTCCACTGCAAGCCCATCAAAATTAAAACATGTTGTGCAACTACCTGAAAATCTTGTATGGTAAAAACAAAACATGGTGCATTGGTGGAAAAAAGTGATACATTACAAGAAAAATGGCAAAAAAGGCTCTGCACAAAATCAGCCACTGTGTTTACATAGTTTCTGGTTACACTACTGATGACATCTAGAAGTCAGTTCTCTTTCAGGAGTCTGTCTATGAATTTGTGAATACACTGAGCATGTTTTATTTAACAATACCTAAGCAAGGTTGAATTTACAACATCTTTTTTGTAAATATTATGAATATTTAGTACAGTTGATGTATTTGTCATATACATATTATCAAAACATTACACGCTAATTCTTGTATTAGACTACCACAGTTACAGACATATGAGTAGACAAAACCTGACGACCATTTTAATTAGCCTGTTAGCCCGTGGTGGATGCACTATACCCAGGTTTAAAGCTGTTAAATGTGGTTTGGAGTTGACTTTATGCCCTCTAGTGGTCAAATACCACTTAATGCAGCTTTGCGGGGGAGAACTGGGACAAAGCCCTTGTGGTTACATGCCTTTGTGTGTGTAGGATGAAATAAGAGAGGGCTCTAATTTGTCTGTGTGCCTATATGTGCATGTGTGCGAGAGAGAGTAGTCCCGTGGGCTCCCCGAGGACTCACGTGGGAATGGGTCGGCTCCATCTTCTACAGTCTTATTGAGGTGGTGGATGGAGAGGTCAGTCTGCAGGATGCTGTCTGTTGTGGCTCTGGCCAGGGCAGCAGCCAGGGAGCATGGACAGTTACTGTGGTGAGGAGAGACGATACAGTTATGAATGGGTCAGGAATTAAAGTCCGCAGATGATGTCAACATTGTCTTGTGTTGTCTGGCCAGTTCTTTGGCAGTAGAATCAAGGTTAAATAGAAAATCTCTGCATGTCGATATTCAGTAGGTCCACAGTATCAACATGCTGGAAGTAACAAACACCAGACTGATGGTTTTGCTATTCTTAGAGCCTTAACAGAAGTACATTTTTCCTTTCCAGTACAGAGCAGACTGAGACATTGACTTGGCAGATATTTTTGGATGATTTTATCTTATCACAGATATTGGTATCAGTATACTGCATGTCTGTTGATACTGTAAGTAATGAAAAGCTGTCACACGGAAATGTCAGAAATATGTTTGAGGTTGTTATATGTGAAGTGCCATTGTTGCCTGCCAGGTAGCAGGCACTGTTTGTTTCTCTCTCCTCTGTTTCCTTGTTCAGTACATATATTTAATAAACAAATGAATGCATCTGTATCAGAAATGTTTATGTTTGAAGAAGACTAGCAGCTCTGTGAGGCTACACTTTCAGCTAAATGCACACAGAGGCAATGCTAAGATGCTGCCATTTAGCCAGTATTAGTGACCTATTAGCATGTTAACTTTTGTTAATTTGCAGCAAAGCTATTTGGTCATAAAGCAACGTATTGAACAAAATATCATGATAAGATGATGGTTTGAGATCAAGGTTTTCCCTAGGCTTTCAAAGGGTTTAGGATGGAGGCTGGGGAGTTTGAAATTATTCAAAGGAAATTTTGATTTATTTAACTTAATTTTTATCTTTATTTTTATCCTTATAATATTTGTGGATGAAAACTGGCAGTACTTATTGTACATATAGTTAAAAGTGTATTATTTTGTTCAGTCCATAGAATTCTCCCTGTTGTTTTAAAATTTGTTTTGATATGTTGCCTAAAGGCCTTTTTATGTTCATTTGGCTTAAGGTGCTTTGCAAGAATACTTGGATGCTGTGCCTAAACCTTTCTATAGCAGGGAAAACCCTGGCCATGGAAAAAAAAAATCAGACATCAGGTTAATACAATTCCTCCAGATGGCCACAAGACTGTGTGTGCCAAATTTTGTTGCAATTGATCAACTAGTTAAGATATGTCTCTCAGAACCACAAATGTGAACCAAAATCAGTCATTAGAGTACATCATCGGGGAACCAGGGTTGTTTGTACAAAACTTTAAGACATTTCTTTGTGTTACCGGCCTGGACTTTTGCCCCTTCCTCTATGCCAATTAGTATGTGGAGATGTTGATCTGGGATTGGCTCCTCAACTGCCTGTCCCTTTTCTTAGCCTGCCGCCTGCCATTCTGGGTCGGACCGGCATTTCAGACTGTGCTGCAATTGATCTCACCTGCTTTAGAAGCACAGTTCAGCTTTCAGTCAGTGCGGCTGTGGTTTGATGGGAGCAGCTTGCCACTGTGCATCTTTTTTTATGTGGTTTTTTTTTTTTTGTGTGTCTGTATCTCTTGTTTATGTAATCATGGCTGGTGATTACTCATTGTGCAGTGTACTTAGGCTTCGTTATGAGACACTCATTTCTTATTTTTTCTTTTGTAGTTTGGATTGATTAGGTGTGTTTGTTTGTGACTTTTTTGTTATTTCAATTTATTTTCTGAAAAGACACCCCAGCTATTTAAAAAAAAAAAAAACTTGCCTTAACCTTTTACATCTGGGTTTTATATTGATTCTCTTTCCCCTAGTGAGCTGGGTCGTAACACTGAATAAGTGAACACAGATCATCTGGTAGTGCTAAATGAAAAATCTGAGGGTCACCAACATCAGTTGCTGCTGTTTCAGACTGGACAGAGCAATGGACATCACTATCTCTGGGAGGAACACTGTTAGCATGGCTGAAAATGATTTTTTAACTCAAACATCAGTATCTGCCTCACATTCAGTGCTAGTCAGGCTATAATACATAACAGGTCATAGAATGACCACACTCATAGAGGCCCTTCAGACACTGATTGTGGCAGTGCTCAGCTGATGTCATGGGAATCAATCAGTTGATTACATTATACAGTATCTTTTGACAAAGTTTGGTATAAGAAAGGCCACAGGAAATAAAGGCCCACATTATAAACCCATTGGATTGTCCAGGAAATGAATTGTCAAAAGTTTCCTTATTGCACAGAGAGTTGACATTTTCAAGAGGAAAAAAAATGCTTATTTAAAAACATTTAAGATTGATATAGCATCCACAGTGACACGCACTCTATCCCTGTAAACGTTTTAACAGCATTCATTTAGGACTTCACTGTGGACCCCAGATATCCTATGAGCTAGATTTACCAGACTGAAGAATATTAACATAATATAACACCTGTTGGAGTGCAGTGGCACATTAGTGCATCTGCGCTGGAGGAGGTGTGTCTCGGCTTAATGTTAAGGAAAGCTAGGGAGGGGGAGGAGGGGTCATTTGAAGGACTGAAGGCGCATTGTACATGAGTCACTGAGATAACTAGGCCACCTCCAGATCGAGGTAACCATGGCAACCCAACTTCTGGATGTTGTGGATTACACTCAAATTAAGTTGAAAATAAACCTGAATTGACGTTATCTTAACGACTCCTTAATTAAGGAGTGAGGGACAAAGCTGGCTTCATCACTGTGGTATAATTAAAGAAGTATCCAATTATTTATTCATGTCTGTCCTGGACAAATCATCTAAGCTGGTAATTTGCAGCCAGTCAGATTCTTTATTCTTGATACATGTACAAAGGGGCAAACTTCAGACAAGAGTAATGAGTTTTATTTAAAAGCTTTTTCTGGTTATGGCATTGTTAGTCCACATTTGGACTTCCTTTTGATCCAAATGTGTATCCCATGCTGGTTAATGTGAATTTCAAGTGTTGCATTGTATATTTCTGAAACTGTGTTTGTATTGGAGGATTGAGCTGCCACACTTCACTTAATTTCTCACTTCCATCCTGATGCTAGACATTATATATCCAGACAGTTTGTGATGTATTTTCTCTGTAGGTCATAGCAGGCTTTAGTTCAGCATAGTTAAACAATAATGATCCAATTTACTAGTATCAGTCTGTATAATGGACCAAACCCTATCCCAGAAGATGCGTCCAACAACAGACCAGCAGAAAAAAAGCAGATGTTGTACTCATGTCATCTCACAGAGCGACATGGTCTTGGTGGTGGTGTCAGCATGGTGGGTCAGTTCACTTTGATGGGCTTCCTGTCACTTCTCCACTATTTGATCATGTGGATTTATAAGCTTCTACAGCTAATAATAGTCTAAGCTAAACTAAGGTTCCCCCACAGCTTCACAGAAACACCTGCATGTTTCCCCCACAGTGGGGGTGCTAACACTCTACAGGCTACATCAATAAATGCTTACAAAAGATCCATTCATATAAGGAAGGTACAAAAGAGGTGCTGGAGTGGTCATCTCGTCTGCCCTCAGTGACTACAGACTGCTTGCCCTAACGTCCCACATAATGAAAGTCCTGGAATGTCTGGTCCTGGACTATCTCACACCTCAGATAAGCACCTCTCTGGGCTGCTGCAGTGATCCAGTTGCAGGGTGCCATTATCCACCAGGTTGAATGACCTCTTTCTCACCTCGACAAAGCAGGCAGCACTGTGAGAGTCATGTTCTTTGATTTCTCTAGTGCGTTTAACAATCCATGGTTGTGTATTGCAGCAGGAACAGGACTAAGTTAAAGGCCATTTCTGTTCTTGGAGAGGAAGTGGAGGGCTACAGATGTATTGAAATTCACCTCGACAACAGACTAAAAATGCATCACAGAGACTGAATACAGGAAGAGACTGAGCAGACTCTTCTCTGTCTGTCTGAAAAATTGTTGAAAAAGGTGAACACAGATCTTTTCCTGCCTGGCAGTGAGAACTGGGGCACATTTTACCAAATATGCATCATGAAGTCATGCATTTTCAGCTTAATGTAGACATGTTTAGCTGATTAAACAAACTCCATACTGAGCATGCAGAGGTGCTGTAGAACCTTTAAGTAATTTGGGACTGAGTGAGAATCGTTCGTGAAACAGGACTATATACATAAGGTTTTCAGGACTAGGGATATGTGTTGTAAGTCTTCTCTTTCCTTAGAAACTACTTTGTTGGGTCCTTGATTTTGTTGTTAAACTGGGTCAAGGGCTAGAAACATCAGAAAGAGAGAAGTGAAACATGCCCCCACAAAGCAGTAGCCATAATAACCTCCTGGGTAAACCTCTCCTTGAAAATGTGGCAGCTGTATTGGTGATATGTCTTGCTCTCCTTTATAAAGGTTAGAACAACTCTGTCAGGACAAAATATGTAACAAATCTGTGAACATGAACTTAATCATCACATTACATACATCTTAGTCTCGTGCCACCATCAAACACAGAGAAGCGACATGCAGTTTTTCAATTCAATATATGTGGAATAAACTCCCAGAAATCTTTCATTTAAATCATGACTCAAAATATTTGTTTTCCATTAAAGTCAAATATGGGGCTATATATTCATATCTGTCTAATTTTTAGGCTTCTGTTTTATCTAATTCTATTATAGCTTATTTAAATAATCTGTTTTACCATTTATATCTTTAAAACAAAATCTTAAAAAGTAAGTAGTAATTGTATTTGTTAGTAAAAGGAGTGGAGCAAGTTCAATATTTAGATAGTAAATGCTTCTTAAAGCAGCACAAAATTGAAATAGTAAAGTACAAGTGCCTCACATTTTACCTAAGTGCATACTTGAGTAAATCTATTTAGTTAATTTCCACCACTGTCTGCAACATTATACTAGAGGAAACAAGATGGATATGAAGCGTGGGTGTTGATCACTATCAGTATTTGGGTTTCTCAAGTCTTTTATATGGGTTTGTTGTATTCCCTCACTTTTGTCCTTGCATCTTAGTCCCACCCACATAAGGCTTGTTAAAAAGATGCAAGGAGAATGTGAGGAAACGCGTTATTAATGACCTGAGACATCCTTTCCTCCTAT